TTGTCTAATTGCTGTATGTTCAAATACCAAAGAGACTAAGACTAGCATATACAAAATGGATTAGCATATAGATATATGATATATAAGGAGAAAAAGTGGTCATACCCACGATTGAAAACAGGGAGAGTCTCGTCAATGAGGTAAGGGAAGTGGACGGGGAAAGAACTGAAGCGTCTCCTACTTGGAACCAAGGCAGTGCTATGGAGAACATGTTGGGAGCAAGGAAGAGAGAAAAAACACACCATCCAAGCAGTCACTGCATTCTGCCATTCTCTACAGCTCATGCCATGCTGTTATTGCTATATTAAACTACATGAAAAGTCTCAGACCCAAGTCCCACGCATCTACTGCCAAGGAGGGGTTCGCTAATCTTGAATCTCATGTCCTGAATTACATTTGGCATTAATGCCTATTGCAGTGCAACATCATCCCCTCTCCCCCCTTAACCTTAACCTTATGCATTCAAAACCCAGGTTTAAGAAAGATTTCAATCTCCAAATAGAATCTCGAACAAAAAGTTATGACTCTTGGGAACACAGAAAATTGTAACCAACTCAAGGAGAAAGTTAAAAATTACAGAAACTTTTTTATTACTGATTATATACACTATGATTATATACACTACTGGCCAATAAAATTTCCTATCTTTAAAATTTCTCTCGGGGCCTAGTAACTATGGCAGCAAAACATCAATAACTTGATTGCAAAATAATGCTGATAATCTAGCTTAATAATCTTCAAGAATGAGATTACATAAATCTGTGGGATTTTCTATAACAGAGGTAACTGAATTAAAGAAATAGGAACACAGATTGTTTAGAGTACACTTGCACAACATCAGTATAGTGCAGCTAAATTATCTATCCCCTTCAACTTCTTAGACTTGGTGCTGATCAACCAACTTAATTATCTTCAAGAAGTTAATTTCCCAGATGCTTGCCCATTGCTGTTTCACAGGATTCTGAGAAACAATGTAAGCACAGGAAGTGTACACATTTGTTGGGGAATAAATTTGTTGATCTTATTCTCTTCCACCAGTTCAACAGCAAAAAAGTTGTAAGTGATGAAAGAAAAACATATTAATGAAAATGAAAGAAGGAAGGCATGCACAAATACAGCTGATACTCAAGTAGAAAAAATACAGCAGAAATAAGAGATGTCATCAATCATAACTCCATGCTATGAACCAGGATTTCTCCATTTCCATTTATCACATTTTTTCAGAAATATATATTTTCACAAGTAACTTGTTGGCAGTAAATAATTTTCATGATAAAAAAAAGTAAGTTTTTTTGCATTTTCATATTTATTTTTCCAATTTTTTTTTTTTTACTATGTATTACTGTATCCAACTCAATGTTCAAATTTTCCATAACAAAAGCTGGAAAACCAAAATCCATCAGGGTTTGCTTAAAGAAAAGTACATCATGTTCAGAAAGTGACTATCCAAGGGCAATTTTTTCCATAATGAAAATTGAAGTAGTCATTTACCTTGCATTTTAAACCCTTTCACTGCTGAGTTTTAATAGGCCTGCTGCATGTCCTTGGTTATTTTTTTGCTTTTTATTTTCTCAGGAACTTGTACAAATTTTTAACAGTTCCTTCTAAAATTGAGTGAGACTCAGGCTGCAAAATAACTTTTCCAGTTATAGGATAGTGAACATATGGAATGTGTCAGATGATCATATAGTGTTTGCCCCTTCTGTGACTTATTTTAAGAATATTCCATGTCAAATCAACACACTTGGAGGACATTTTTCAGGTGACCCCTTCTGATTTGGATGAAATTTGGTGTACCTATCAACAATGGTGAGAAACTAACCCACACCAAATATTGGGTTCATTAGACCCCTGGTTTTTCTAATGAGGTCACAAAATTTGAGGCTGAAATGCCTTATTCTCATACCCCAATTCAGTCTCCTCCTTGAAACTTCTGTCCCAATTAAGCTAGAGAGCTCATCTTAACTTCATTTCTTAGTTCTTTTCAGCCCTATCCATTGGCGTTAATACAATTTGGTGAATACTAAAAGTTATCATTTAGTAAGGAGGTTATGTTGATGACTTTGACCATGGCTACCTCTGGAAAACATTTTAACTTAGGCACTTCATAACTTTTGGAGATAATTAAAATAATTACAATATGATAAGATACAGGCTTGAGGCCTATGACGGCATCCTAACTTTGGAATACCAGCTAACCCATTTACACCCTCCCCCCGTAACACCAGCAAACACGAGAAGCCTTGGGAGACTCAATTTGGCCCATGGACTTATTCTGATACAACATCCAAGGTTTGGCCTTCACCATTGTGGATCTTTAACCCCTTAACTGGGAACTTTTGAACGCATATGTGCGGTGATTCCATTGAGAGATGGCAGGTGCCAGACCGCACATATGCGGTGAGTCCATTTAAGGGGTTAATGTCCCACATCCTTAGATGGGAGTGCCAAGTGCCTTCTCAAGCATGCTGGGGTTTGCACTTGAAAATAAACATGACCTGGTTGGGTTCAAACCTGCATACCCAGCCGTGGGAGGCAAGCACATTATCAACCAATCTATTGGCTCACTGGCTTAGAGCTGTTTGCATGAAATCCATTAAACAGAATATGCTCCACTTCATAATTGGAACCTATGGGAATGCATTTAACTAAGTCAATATTATTTAAATTAATTTCCATGTAAAAATAAGCACTTTAAATTAGATTCTATTTCATGCATACAAATGCTATGTATGTAGCATCGCATCTACATAAAAGAAGGTTTTTACTATAATGCTTGGAAGTGCAAAACTATAGTTGTCTTTGTGGCATGGCTTCAGCATATATGTGATGCCGATCAAGATGATAGCTGACAATGGTGAGCACTGCAAAAAATAATTATGCAGTTCTTCATTTAAAAAGAATAATAATGTACTTTTTATCAGCATTAAACTTAATTCTAATTTTTAAATGTTTATCGTACAAAATACTAGACATTGGATACTTAGCTGTACATTTGTAAGGCTAATCAAAATTGTTAAGAAATGAACAATTCCTGAAAGCATATGTTCCAATGGAGAATACATGAATTTACTGGACTTCTGTGGCCATAAGACACTGACAAGTGTAAACACCTTCACTCTTGTGGAAATGGATTTGCTTATTTGAAGGAGTCAGCTGGAGAAAGCAGCACTCCAGTGGAGATCCCATATTCTAGCATAAGATGGTTTGTGACATGTAAAAGTGGTGGACAAAGGTACTTAGCATATGTTCTTGAGAAATTTAAAGACAATCAGAAAATTCTTGTTCATTTCCTTCATCCACAGAGTCCAGCTTCTTCAACTTCTTATCCTCACAAATTTGATGAGCCAAGAGTATATCATAGGTCTTTTCACTTATTAACCCCTTTACAGAAACAGGACATATATACAAACTGTCCAATGTAGATACATGCATTGGCATGCCTTCAAATGAACTACCAGTACAGAGAATTTACCTTCAAAATGCTCTTTGGACTTGGTTCTCTAATGACTCTAGTTTAAATTTTTCTTTATTGTGTTTAGTTCCATCCAATCCATTAAACTTTTAAAATATTGATTAACTTTAAAGATAAACTCTAAAGATATTGCTGGATGCAGGTATGCTATTCGAAATCAATGGTACTCTCTTTCGTAGTTATCTCAAGAACTTCTGAAGAAGTCCAAAATAAAATTTAACATCGAGGTAGCTACATATCTTGCCTGCAAGCCATTCAATTTTTTTCAAAATCTAAAATGGCTGTTTATGGTAATATGAGGTCAAAGTCATTATGACCTCATTAAAGTTTACTCTTAGCACTTACTCAAACCCTAGTCACATGTTTGAAAGGGTTTTAAAAAGAGCTTTTGAACGAGCCCAAGAAGAGGTCTCTAACTCAAATAGAACAGAAGTTATGAGGGGAAGACTGCATCATAGTGCAGAAAGAAGGCATTTTGGCTCAAATTTTCATGACCTCATAACAGAGGAACAAAAAGTCAAATGAACCCAATAATTACTGTCACTTTCTAATAGGTACAAAAAAGCCTGTCAAATTTCATTCAAATCAGAGAAAGTCACCTTTTAACACCATGTTGATTTGATACATAAATAGGAATTAATTGAAGGCTTCAAGGAAAAAAAGGGAAGCAAAGTGGCATTGACTAAATGGTAGTGCTCCTACAAAAATATATATCTCTTCAAGATTGGTAGGTCTAGCACATATTTAAATGAATGCTCAACATTGACCCAGGATGTCATAATGGGCATCCTGACATTCCTACCCAAAACCTGAACTTGAACAAATTGGCATAACCTTTCTGACAGAATATCACTGAAAACTGTTCCATAAACTGTCTCTGGTCTTGTAGACTGCTCATCAGTTTGGAGTTCAGGCTCTGCACTTCTAGAAACATGCTTCTACCCACTGGATGGTGCAATTTTCATAGCCACAAGACACAAGCTGATTTGGGACTCCAGGGCTGGGTGCAATAGTGACAATTCCAAGCTCAGTTCACAATCACACCATGACACTTAGTGAAAACCCCAGGTACTATGAATAAGCAGACATCCCAAGGAGGAGTTTATGGACATATGGACCCACTCAAGTATACTTGAGTGCTGCAGTGAAAAGGTTCAAAATGACAATCTATAGACCTCAGAAGAATGTCACATTTTTTCTTCTTTCACTTTTGTGTGACTTTATAAATAACTCCTTTATAGGTCAACAAACATGTTTCTGAATGGTGCAAATAAAGAACTAATGGATCTTCTAACATTTTATGATTTTCTTGACTCACATTATCCTCCATAAAAAAAAGCTCAATAATTCATCTCTAAAATATCAAGTATGAGGCTAAAACGCTTGAGGAATGCAAAAGCTCCTTAGGACTCAGAACTTTCTTCACAGCAGAATTGGCCACTCTTTTACAGGAATATGCAAATGGAAAAGACTAATGTCAAGGAAATGAAGTTCATCAAGAATATTATCAGCTACAGCAGCCTACCATATCTTCTTCCTTTCTGAAAATAAATATAAAAATGAACATGGTGAAACACACAGTTGACTTAGTAAAATCAAAATATGGATCAGAGACATGAATCCTCAGTCACATCAAAATGAAAGAAGGAAAGATATTATTATGAGGTCTACAATCTACATTCACAGAATAAATGGTTACTTAAGGTTAAATAGGAAAAAAGTTGGCTGTAGATGGTCACTTTATGAACAACCTGTACGATATCCAAGCATCATGTGACCTATGAGCAGAAGCCACTCCACTTGTTTGACTCCATACAATACAGCATGTTCAAACTCTTGCCATACCTACGATTGATGACTGGAACAAGATTCTCATTATGAAGAGCCTCCCATGTGATATGTGAGCAGAACTGCATATAGTGATCCCGAGTTGCTTCATTGCAAGTGTTCAGGAGGATGGAAAGTCCCAAAGGCTTGAGAGAACTAAGGTGCTGCTTCCATGATGGATCATCAAAATGAAGTTGAAAGGGGGTATGAGGATCATGTGTCATGTCCAGGACCTCAGGTCGTAAATCTCCTCTTACATCTGGAGAGTAAGATAAAACTAGAAGATATCATCCTTATAACATATCCCTCTTTTCAGGCTAAAAGATGGATAGGAAAGCCCCAGCAACCTGAGAGTCGATGTAGATGGGCTGCACCTTCTCTTTCTCTATGCTCCTGGTGTACATGTTCATGTAATGACTTGCGAAGTCCATTGAAAAAGAAGACTTTGTCTGCAGTTGGATTTGGCCAGCTCAGGATGCCTTTCTTGTCCACACAGCAGAGAGCCTGCAATCCAATGAGAATAACATAAAGGCATGATAGTAACAATAAAAATGACTGGAAGTGTAAGTTATAAGGCATCACGCACAGAGAGTGAGGCAAGAACGTGGAGCAGATTAGAGCTAAGCCAAAGTTGTCCATCCTTTCCAAGACTGAGCTGGTATAGAGTATGCAACAAAAGTTGCTTATCCAGTTTGTATGGAGCATTGAATTCTTTCAAGGCTTCTATATCTTCAAAGACATCTCCTCTTGACTGAGTCTGTGACTCTTCTGCTCCATTCTGAAGAACACCATTTTATGCAATCAACACTTTATTAATTAACCTCATCATGAGGGTTACAGGGAATAAGAAATGTTAGTAACAGTATGACACTAACCTTGGCACTCAGAAACTGATGAAAACATACAAGTACCCGTGACATGCCCACCATGTTAAGTGCAATCCACACCATGGGGAACATGAGAGGAAGCAGAGGAATTGTGCACAATGCTGGATATAAGAGGAGAATTTCAATTAATTCTCCAGACCATTCAGCTGCATAATTGAGTCGCACAAGGTTGATCACAGCCACTCCAATCTAGAAATAAACATTGTAAAAACAACGGGCATGAATGAACTGGGTCATCCCATGGCATTTGAATAAGGAGTCTGTTTCATTTCAATAGGTCTATTGGTTGTCTTACTGCCACAATTGGGATGGCAAAAGTGTGAATGCAAGTGATCCATATCAGGTGTTGCTCATCTTCATATGCACTCTTTGGTCTCAGATGCCCCCTTGAAAGGCTGTGCCTCAGATGCTCAAGATAAGGGGTCTCAAGCATAATGTATGGATTAGCCTCCAGAGGCTGCCTGAGCTTTGGTACATTGTACATGTCAATCTTTTTCTCCATTGGCAAGGGAGAATAGATATCACCGAAGTGCAAGGATCTTTTCCCATCACCCTGCTCATCAGCTCCACTCTTCTGATAAAGACATTAAACAATTGATTTTCTCCAGAGCAATAAGCAAGCAATTCAGAAGTGATGATTGTCATGGTACAGGCATACACAGCTTGAAAACACAACTGACTTTTAACTGAGAGCAATGTCCAGGAACTTCCTGTCCTGGCCTCAAGAGAACAGTATCCCCTTCCACAAGGAGAGCCCATGGAAGATTTACCAGCTTTCCATCTCTAATTGTCCACTGGAGTGTGATGCATGGGCTTAGGGGCATATGAAGATGGGGATAGTTCTCTTCCTTCCAGCATATTGTTTCACTCCATCCTGTCCAAGCAAAAAACAAGTCAATCATTTTTTTTATAATGCTGCTGATAAGAAAAATAAGTGAGGGAAAGAGATATAGAAGGTACTCTTCAAGGAAGCTGAAAGAACTCTTGCTTTTTTGATCATCTCCCAATGCTTGTGTAGATGGAACCAACATACCAGCCATGTATTCAGCCCTCCAATTATAATGATAATGATAATCTCGAAGGGCAGGAAAGGAAACCTGGAAGCAAAAGAACAACAGATGATAGCTACTTTTTTTTGTTCATTTCACCTTTTACCAGAGAACCAATCCATGTATGGTTCCTACCTTGCAAGAGTGTCTAAGACTATTGAAAAGGCATTCAATTCAATAGTGAAAACCCATAGAAGCATGTTTGTAAAAAATCACTAGAAAACATGGGTAGGCTAGTTAATAAAGAGAATGATTATCGTAGAAGACTTTTTAAAATATAGCATCAATGCATGAAAGCCTTTATCAACCTAATGCCTCATCTTTCTATCTCCTATTCTAATTCCATGACATTGTCATAAGCCATAATTTGAGGCTATTTTTTATCCTTGCATAACAACCATTGAGAGCTGAGGATATTTTAACACATTCACGACCAGCGACTGCAGAACAATATGGGTTTAAAAACGTAATATTACAGTTCCTGGCATCAATGTGTTAAAAAGTTAAGAGCAAAGTTTTGATGTCATTTTTCATCCTCAAAGTTTGATTGGTTTCAGAGTTAGAATTGCATTCATTCTGAAAACCAATGTACTAACTTGAACTGGTGAAAAACAACTTACACAATCTTACTCATCACTTACTTTCCTCAGAAGACTCTAGAACAATATTATATGAATGGGAAGTGTTGTAGATGGAATGCAAGTTAGAATAAGTAATTCAGGGAATGAGACTAGGTAATGTGACATGTAGTCCAGAATGGTATAACAAAATGACAAGGACTTTCTGCCACATAATGTCTGTCATGCTTACTCATATAGAGTAGGATTGCACCTTCTCAATCTTATGCCTGGAGTGCTTAGCATCCAAAAGACCTGGGAGAGATGTCACACTTTCATGGCAAAAATGAAATAACATTTAAAAAATCAGACAAACATCCTGTTCAGAGCTCTACTGTAGGGAGTACTGAGGAGCATTAATAATAAAGCACTCAGTGAATCAAAACAAATAACTACATCAATCCATATGCCTTTAGGCTGCACTGACAGGGAGCTGGCATTGTGTGAAGGGGGTCAGCATGAATCAATTATTGATAATAAAAATTGGAGAGAACCAATGAGAAGATTCAGAATTAAGATACTTTCAGCTTCAGCTTAAACTTACCTTTCTTTGGGGAGGGTGAAGTAAGATGTGAGAAGAAATACACATTCTAAAAGAATGGTGATGAAAGAGAGAAGATTAAAGGCCATGATACTGTCCACACACAATCCTCCAAACCAGGACTCCTTCTTCCTGCAAATCACATAAAGTGAAGATAATCAAGTGAAGATAATTTTTGATCAATTGCAATCTTACTACTCTCTTCTGAATAGTGCCACATGTCATCCAAATGAACAACATCTGCTATCTCAAGATAACTGTTCCTGGCTAAATAAATGATTGAAATGGGAATGATTCAACTCCTACTTCTGCCACAGTTAGGGAAGGTTGCATTAAAAATTTAAATATCACTACTGTACTGTAGGTCTAAGCTACTTGTTATGGGGGAATGCATAAGTATACAATATTAAAACAGAGTCAGTGTTTATCAGGTGATGATAGGCACATTTCATTGCATGCTTAGGCCAGTAGACCTAGCATAAGAAAGCCATTCTTGTGAGATAAAGTGTTTTTAACTTGACTTCAACACTCATGCATGATGAACATCCCATGCACAAGTGTCCAAGTCCAGTGGAAAACATGGTATATGCAAAACCTAGGTATAACTATGATGGGCATTGCACTGCCAAAAGAAGCTATGCACTGAGAGCAAATTCCTGCTGCTCTGCTCATGATTGATGTATGTGTCTGAAATGGAGCACTTTAGTTCACAACCACAGATTTATACATGGGCAAATATGACATTTCAGTTTCCCAAAAGGGAATAGAAGAATCTGTCCCCTTTCTGGAAGTAAGATTAATTGAATAGAATTGCCTTTGTAACAAAGAGCACATGGTACATTGTCCAAGATGATTCAAGTAAATTCTGATCAATAGAATTAGAAGCAAGACTTGCCTCTCAAAATAATATATTTTGGAGATCTCACTATGGAAGGGAGTTCATGCCAAAAGTTCACAACCAAAGGGAGTGATCTTGCAGATGCCTCCACTTGGCAGAGCTATAATTACTTTGATAAATTGAGTCCAAGGTTAGATAAAACATGAAAAAAATCTTACTTGGATTTCTCGAAGTCCTGGAGCACATTGTCAATCTTTTCTGAGAGGGCTGAAAGAGCATCTCTGGAAGCCAAGCCCTCAAGTTTATGATCAGCTAACATAACACTTCATTCATATATATCTAGGTCTCTGGGCATAAATGGGATGGAAACCTGTCACACAAATTAGGTTAATAGGAGGCTGAAAACTTTGAGCAGACTTATACATGACCAATACAAAGTTATACTAGGCATTAGTCATAGACTTGCCATAGACAACAGGGTGGGCCAAAAAAAGTACACAATTTCAAAGTGAAATTACAGGATAAGATACAAGATAGGATTGAATAATAAGCAGGCAAAATTCAAATTTTTTTATACTAAATACCCCTTTTTTCTGTTGTAGGTTCAAAATGCCTCAATTAAGTTCACAACAAAGAATCTTTATCATTGAGGAGCATATCAAAACTCAATGAGTAATAGTGACACAGCACATATTCAGAAAGAAATTTCCAGGGTGTGAGATGCCAACAGCTAAGACAATATGACAAATTCCAACCCTTTTTCCTTTCATTAGGAAAAAGATTACCTGAAATGACAAAAATGAGGAACAAATCATGTGGCAACAGTTACCTCAAAATCAAAGCCCCCCAGAAATGTAGACTCTAACTAGGCCAAGTAGTCCCTTGCTAATGAAATTGGATAGTCTTTGGTAGAGAAATATTTTGAAAAAGAAGAGAAATGAAAAATAAAATTGTTTAAAAAAAAGTATCTAGATCAGTATTCTTCGTCCCAGTTGTAAATGATGAAAACCATCAAAGAAACATGTTACACACAAATGAAAACACAATGAACCCTCTGGGATAAATGAAATGCATCCATTCATGGTTGAAGATGGCACAAATAAGAAACTGAAGGTTCTGATGGTAGTTATATCACAACTAAACAGAAGCCCCTACGAATTACACTATGATAGCCCAGTGCCAATTTTCCAAATGTTCAGAGCAATTTCAAATGAATCCTCAAGAGACCTTTTCTCTCATTTTTTTGCAAACCTTAAGAAATCTGGCTACATATGAATTACCATGGAATTCTGTCTGTCATAAGGTTTTTGTGACTGTTTGCAGGAATATTTCAAACTAATGATACTGATTGCTGATGTACTCTCCCTGTAACGTCAAACTCAACCAGAGGGTGGGTGATTAACAACCCTTGTAGGCTCTTGATCCATTGCACAATATCTGGTTGATCATAATCTTGGCCCAAAAAATTTAACAGGACCTAGGCTTACTGTAAGGAGATTCAGATGTCTAATTAAATGATTAAACATCTGAATCCCCTTTGTGGTAAGCTTAGGTCAAAAAGAATTAGAAGAGTGGATAAAATAAAAAATTGCAGTGAATTGTTGTATAATTGGGCAAGGGTCTAGCACTCACTAAATCACAGGTCAGCCATGAAAACCAGTTATTACTACACTGTTTTGCAAACTGAGTTTGACAATTTCTTACTTGACTTCAACACTTGTACATGGAATGTTCCTCATGCTCCTGTATTTGAGTCAAGTGAAATCAGTGTATTTAGCTCACTATTATCATTTGGCTACTCTGTAAGGTAAAGCCTATTGCCATGAGAACGTTAAAATGATTAAATTTAGATCTAGGGGAATAATCCAACCTGCGTGGCTCTGGACGATAGGGCACATATTAGGCCCCAATAACGTTCCCGGGGATTCCTCGAGATTAGAGTCTACAAATGGTATGTAGGCCTAGAGCAAGGCCCTAACGACAAGATGCCTCATATTCTTGGCAAATGTGTTTTTCTTTCTTCTCCTCTCACTTTACAACTTTGTTCATTGGTCAACAGTTTACGTTAGGGTACAATGGGAATAGAGTTCAAAGATAGGCTTACGACTAATCATCGCCTCCTTATGCATGTAGTGAATTCGTCGTCGAAGAAAAACCTGTCCGTCACGAATGGAAACGAATCGAAGTCAATTCCAAAACCCTGGAGACCCACGTTCGAAGATTAGGTAAGATTCCTTGGGCTATTTAAGGAATAGGACATGACCCATGACAGTCACATGGACATAATAAGCAAGCGTACGAGCGGCAACTACTGTCGTCTGCTCCGCTTGCATTCCCCCGAAGGCGCATCTTTCAACTTCAGAATTCTCCAGACTGTGGGAGTTCCACGCAAGAACGCTCATGATTTCGGTAATTTCAAAGCCTCACCATTTGGGCATTCAATTCGGAGAAAGGGGCTTTGAGGCGAATTCGGAGACTAATTAACTTTCTCGCCTCGATTCTCGCTGAAAGGGGAGAGAATCCTCAAAGGCGGTTAGGGCCCAGAATATCGACCTCTGATTATCGATCACAAAAAAACTTCACGGACCAAGGTCTATTAAATAAAGAAGATGTAAATCACTCGAAATTTCAGGGGCCAAGATGTCTCGGATCGAATCCCATCCCCCTCACTCCAGGAGTGTGGAGGACTGAGAAAACATTCCAGGAGATCCTTTTCATCAGACGATCCACGAAACGACCCATCTCGATGATACCACTGCCTGCGATCGATGGAAGTGCTCACATGGAGGGTACGAATTCAATCCGAAAACAGTGACAATTTAAATGATGGACGGAAAAATGCCGATTTTGTCACAATCCTTACAGGCATTCATTTAGTTGAAGTGGGGAGAGGAGGGGGGGGGGGGGGCTTGAGGAAAAGGCATCTTTCAGTCCTTATTCCCTTGTAAGGAAGCCTATGTGAAGTTGGGGAAGTGCAAGCTCTGGAGTGGCGAGCCGGCCCATGCTAGGGGGCGCTGAGCACCTCCTCACCCTTTGGTCCTTCATTCAGCACCCTCTCCCCTTCAAACGGCACACTATATCGTATTGACAGACAGATGTAAACGGTGGATGGGGGAGAGGAAATTAATCCGACCCTGTCTGCCCTCCTTCCCCCTATTGCAGTTTTATGACGTCCCTGATTCCTCACGCCTGAATCCTCAGGATGGAACACGTTGCCCATAACAGGCGATTGCGGAATTCCCTCTCTCTTCGTGGTGGGAACGAGCACAAAGCATCGTGAGTTCCTTAAGACTATGCCCCTAGGTCTGGGAGGAAACTGGCTGAATCAACATCTAGCCTGGGTCTTTGTGGGGCGAGTGCGGTTATGGGAGAACTCTCATCTTAAAGGTCATGAATCCTACGTATATTCACCCTGTGATTCCAGTATGCAGAGCGATCAAATGGCAATTTTTTTTAATATGCATGTTGAGGTTTGGAAGTGGAATTTGATGTCAAATAGGAAAGTGAAGTCAAAGACATGTATACAAGGGATTTTCCACTGATTTTCCGTGAATTTCATGTGGAAAATATTGAATAGATTTTCTGCATTCTTCCATATCACATTATATCCTATACAGTCTATAAAGTTACTTTAGTTTTTTTTATTGCCCCTTCGCTGTATTTTAGGTAATTAACGAAAAATTCAGGCATGATTTACTTCTTTATTTTTCCAAAGCAAACCTCAATATTGCTGATGTAGGGTGTCAAAAAAATAAAGTCAGAAAATTACTTTAAAAACTATCTGTATTACTATTTCTTTCAGGAAGTACGACTGAAAAGTGTTGCTGAAAGCAGAGCTATGAAACGGAACGAAAACCGGAACAGAACGAAATAATTCAATTCCCGAAACAAAGCAATTTTGTCATTTTCCATTCCAAAAATTTTTACCAATACATTTCTTGCAAGTCTCCAAACTTTCCTCATAATTAACTTCATTCCCCGTAGGAAGGTACCTTGAACAGGTTCATGTTTGGCCGCAACTTGAAATTATGAGGCAGAGTCGTATCACTTGATCAAAAGTGTTTCCAAAGGATCTCAAGGGCTGATTTTTTCAAGCCATGGAATTTGACAGATGGGCAGAGAAGATGTTGCTCCGATCGATTGGAGATGAGACCTCGCACGGGTTCTTTATCGTCTCGTGAGTGAAACGGTTCCCCGTTGGTTCGCCGAAGCCCATTCCTTCTCTCACGCACTTCAGTAAATAATGGAGAAACAGACTTCCTTTTAAGGGGGTATAATTTCTTCCAATTTAAGGTCTCAGATTCGTTGCATGCGATCCCGATAATCCGGTGAGTTTGTTGGGGTAGATCACTATCTGCTCGGGTGCTAAATTTAGGGCAGATCTTTTCCGAGAACCGATACTCAAACAAGTCAGAGAATGAAACGAGATCTCCGCTCAATCTTCGCGAACGAGGATGGCGAGGAGAGCGAAGGGGGGGGGGGGGGGGGGGGGGGGGGGGGTCGAGGGGGGCGGGGGGGGGGGGGGGGGCGGGGGGGGCGGGGGGGGCGGGGGGGGCTTCAGNAGGGCGAGGAGGTCGAGGAGGGCGGGGAGGGCGAGGAGGGCTTCAGAGACGAAAGACAAGGTGCCCCTCGCAAGAGGGGAGGCGAACATCCTTCCCTCCAATCATCCAGCAATTCACTGATCCAATTATCCAGTCATCCCACTCGTGCCATCCGAACCCTCCTCTGCACGCTCTAAGCGACTGGGAAGCAGCGGATGGACCATCCCGAGGCTCATGCGAGTCTTCGTGCCAAATATAATGGCACAACTTACCAGAGTTTCCAGGAACTTTTTGGAAGAGGAGTCCCGACCAAAAACGCCTACAGTGTCTCCGGAATGACTAACGTTAACACGGGCTCCATACTTTTTAATGGACCCTGTTGGCAGCTCAGCAAAGTAGTACTTCTACCACTAGCAATAGATGTCGCTTCAAGCAATAGAAGCGTAATCGAGTCCTCAATCTCGCCGTAAGACACTGGTCAGTGACCAGTGTTGGAGTCGAAAAAGTATTATGTGCAAAGTATATGGCAAAATCATATATTTCAGCTCAATGGAAGTAATTAGTTACATTTTAACAGGTTTGCTAGAAGATTTCATTAACAAAAATAATAATAATAAAATGATAATAGTCGTTTATTCGTGATTCTGGAATAATTGTGCATCAGCAAATTGCATTCCATCGTCAAAGGGTAGACATAGAAATACATATTAAGGGGTTTGTACTGAGCCGGTGTGGCGGTCTTCTCGGGTAGTTTTCTGGTTTATCAAGCAGGTCGTGAAGGGAATTGCTGACTGGTAGAATCTGCGCGTGCGGCACTCACGCTCTTTTGAGAGAGATGTTTCTTGTCAGGTTCT